CAGAATGCCCACAGCACCCAGAACCGGTAGCATGTGTTTCTGCTGGTGGTGCACAAAATGTATTCTGCATGTGGATGGAAAAAGTTAGAGGGAAGGCATTGGCCAGAACGGTTGCCTTTCTCTTTTGGTTCAGCAAGCAATTATTTCCTTATTTCCACGTGCAGATCTTACCATGGTCATTCATACTTTAGACCAGGAGTGTGGGGAAACCTCAGGCTCAGAGGTCGAATGTGGCCCCCGGCTTGACTGAATCTGGCCCCGGAGGCTCAGAGCCCACCCCCCAGCATTGGGGAGTTTGCGCTGGTGCTCCAGCCCCTCTGCTGCCCCACCAGAGGACTGGAGCACACAAAATCTAATAGTCTGGGCCATAATTCTAAACACTCTCTAACTTAGGCCATCTTTGAAGATTATTCAGAACCAGTACAAGTACAGAATATGGTTGCCTGACTGGCACAGAAAACAGTTGTATATCAATACAGTGTATATGCTGCCAGTTCACTTCTCAGCAACTGCTCTGATCACCTGGGTCCCTGTCTCCCCTTAACATACTTGTGTTCGGCTGAAACACTTGTGCTTTTTGTCCCATGGCCAAAGAACACGCATGTGAGGATTGGGAGCGGGTTCTTGCCTCTGAAATTCACGCCACCTAGAAAAAGCATATGGCTGCAAACCTGACCAAATTTAGAGTTCCAAGATGCATTTCTTTCTGTAGACTTTCCACTAACTCCAGGTTCTGGATTCTGTTTGCAAAAGAGTAGAGTTATTGTGAATTGTAATTTAACATTCTGTATATTTAGGAAAACGTTGTTTGCTCTTATTATCCACACAAATTGCATCCAGATACCTAAGTCCAATAGTGAGATGTTCAAAACGCCTATGTGGCTTCCCCCCAGTCCTGGAGGTGCCTCATTTTCCACTGTTAAAGTAGCCTTAAAGCCTAAATTTCTGCCACTGGGTATTACACAGCTGCCTCAGTCTTAACATGACTGACTGGCTTGCTGGTTAAGCCCCCACTGGATCCGATCTGGTAGACCTATCCTGAGGCTAATTTGGTACCTGTTTATCAGATGGAGTCCTGCATAGATTGTCCATCAACATTTATCCCGGTATTAGAGCAATACCGGTATTGAGCTCTCCAGTCTGCCTGGTGTGTAGCAGAAACATGAGGGTCTCATGACCCAAGAGAGTGTTCTAACCTCTTTCTGTGGCCTAGTGAAGAGCCAGAGATCCAGCTCTGCCAGTGGTGCCTGCTCAGGTTTTTTTTAAGGACTGACTGGGCTTAGGCACTGAACTTGAGAGGTTCCTTCATCTGGACCATGCAGGACTAAGACAAAGCCCTGGCTGGTTTGATTTAGTTGGGATTGGTCCTGCCTAGAACAAGGGGGCTGGACTTGATGACCTCCTGAGGTCTCTTCCAGCTCTATGATACTATGATTCTAGGAGTCACCGCTGAGAACCCTTCCCTGGAGTTAAATGCCTAACTCCCTTTGAGGGGGTAGGCCCTCTCCTCCATTTCTTTCTATGGGTTAGCTTACATAGCTCCCTGCTTGGTATGCTGTTGTAGTTTCAACGCTTAGCTGAAGAGTTGGTCATAGCAATTGTTGGCCATTTGAACCATTCCTGTGCAAAGGTTTGACAGCCCAAGAGGCCAACATCAGACAATACTTGATGGGTGTAGTATATAGCCAGGGCGGGGGGAGCTGCCTATGAGTTGCCTCCAACCCTTGCTTGATAGAATTTTATCTCAGATGGTACAAGCCATCCGGAGAACAGTGTTCTCAGGAACATCCTGTGATATGTCTGAAAAGTATAAGATGCTGTCTGCAGACAATGGTCTGTAGATCACAGCACCTGTAAACAGAAGATCTGCATTACAAATTAAGTCATTCCACTTGATGCCCAATATACAATAGTGGCATTTTGTGATCAGCTTTGCCCACTTTAAGTAGCAGAGTATTCATGGTTAGCAATCGTATAACAGTATCGCTAGGATGCAGCTCAACTAGACTCTGAATTTGGTTGCTGTACTGAGATTATCTTGCTTCCAGATTCCTTGCAAGCATGGTTGATGCTATCATGCCCATTCAATGGAGAACCTTCATGTGAGAGTTGGCATATGCTAGCTTTTATAAAACACATTCTTAAGCACCTATCACCTGCATTGTAGAGGATGGGTACCTGGATGCTTAACTTGGAGATGGGAATTTGACTTGCAATTCTTAGCCTAAGTCTCCCTTGTAAATTCTACTCTCTGTGTAGACCTAGGAGAAACAGAAATGTATTAATTGAGAACTTAACAGAACAATGGCTTTCATTTCCCTCACTACTTGGTAATACCCAAATAAATCTTTCCTACCCTCAATTTAAGAAACTGGTAACAGTATGCTGAGTTTAAATAGCTAGCATAGTAGAGATGTTTGTAGGTGTCTAAGGGAATCAGACCTTTTAAAAATTTCTGTCATTTTCAGTTACTATAATTAATACAAAATGCAGGACAATGTAGCACTTTAAAGACTAACAAGATGGTTTATTAGATGATGAGCTTTCGTGGGCCAGACCCAGAGGAAGTGGGTCTGGCTCACGAAAGCTCATCATCTAATAAACCATCTTGTTAGTCTTTAAAGTGCTACATTGTCCTGCATTTTGTATTAATTATAGTAACTGAAAATGACAGAAATTTTTAAAAGGTCTGATTCCCTTAGACACCTACAAACATCTCTACTATGCTAGCTATTTAAACTCAGCATACTGTTACCAGTTTCTTAAATTGAGGGTAGGAAAGATTTATTTGGGTATTACCAAGTAGTGAGGGAAATGAAAGCCATTGTTCTGTTAAGTTCTCTATGCCTGCAGCCTAACACATAAGCAATGTCATACTGGATAAACAGAGACCTCTCTAGTTAATTGTTTATCTGCTAGGTGCCAATATCAGATACTTCAGCAGACCGTAAAGAAACCTTAGTATAAAATTGTGGAACAACCTATATAAAAAGTAAATTTCTTCCTGTCCCATCAGTAGTTGCTGGCTCATGCTCTGGAGCAAAAAGAACATATAAGCCCCCTTTTTTCGATAATGGTTTCTGTAATGCCACTGCTTCATAAAAATGCAAATGAGAAGAAACTGGTGCTAGTACTCATGACTTCAGGACAGCCTATGGCATTTCAAGATATTTAGGCTACATTTTCAGGGTATTTTAGTACAAACCTTTTGTGAGGATGGGTATATGTTAAAGTAATTTCTATTTAACTTTACGTTGGAAAGAAGTCCGTGTTTAACCTATGTTTTTCATATTTGCAGGTTCTAGCACCACATTGAATAGTTTCTCATATTTAAAGTGTCAAAAAGCCCATGTCTGTTTCTCATCCTGTTGCAGAGCTTGCTGTAAGGTTTTATTTCTAAGCCCTTCAACAGTAAAGTAACATGTAAAGGGAGTGATGCTTTCTTCTTTATTTTCATCATCAGCTAAAGAAAAGCCCTAGGAGTAGATGAGTGGAAATACTGTGGGGGCTGTGTCTACATTGGCACCCCTTTCCGGAAAAGGGATGCTAATGAGACACATCGCAATTGCAAATTCCGCGGGGGATTTAAATATCCCCCGTGGCATTTGCATTTACATGGCTGCCGCTTTTTTCCGGCTCGGGATGCCAGTCTAGACCCGATTTTCCGGAAAATAAGCCCTTTCAATAAGGGATCTTCTGGAAAAGTGCTTATTTTCTGGAAAATCGGGTCTAGACTGGCACTCTTCTCCGGGAAAACCCCGAGCCAGAAAAAAGCAGCAGCCATGTAAATGCAAATGCCGCGGGGGATATTTAAATCCCCTGCGGAATTTGCAATTGCGATGTGTCTTATTAGCATCCCTTTTCCGGAAAGGGGTGCCAATGTAGACACAGCCAAAGTGTTTGTGTAAAACAATTCCTTCAAAACTGTTAGCCAGCACCCTCTTGCTAAACAAAGATGATTGTAAAAATTTCAAAAGTATGAGCCTTATTCTGAGCTCATGTTGTTAATCATGGTAAAAACAAAGGAACAGTGCTCCATGCAGAAGGGCAGAATTTGCCCTAACTCAGGGGTGGGAAAAAGCCTCTCAGTGGGCCAGCTCCAGCCTACCACCTAGGGCTGTGATCTGGCCTGCGAAGCAGTTCCAGGCCCCACCCCCTAGCACATTGCTAGGGAGCCAGAGACCCACACCCAAGCCCTTTCAACTGCTTCTATTTAAAGGGCTTGCACCTGCTGGACAGCTGCGATGCCTGACAGCCACCCAACAGGCACAAACCCTTTAATCAGAGGCAGTTAAAAGGGCTCGCAGCTCTTGGTCCCACTGGCCCATTGCCTGGGAGGCGTGAGCCCTTTCAACTGCTTCTGTTCAAAGGGCTTGTATCTGCCAAGTGGCTGCCAGGCAACAGGTTAGCAGCAGGGCCAGGAGCTGCAAGCTGTATTATGTGAATTCTAAGCATCCACCCCAGACAACTCTGGGAGGAGGCTAGCCCCCAGCACCTGTCTGCTCCAGGTCCCTTCCATTGGCCAGAAGTCTGGGGGGGGAGGAGGACCCCAGGCTAAGCAAAGCTCCCTGTAGGGTAACTCTCAACCCCACCCCTTCTGCCTAAGGTGCCACCCCTTCCAGGTCAGCCCATGGCCACTTCTGAAATTTGTGAAGTGGCCCCCATTCAAAAATTATTACCCACCCCTGCCCTAACAATATTTTATATCCTTTGCCACTGCACCAGACACAGTGGAGCTAAACTGATGATCGATCAGGACACATTCCTTATAATTAAATTTGGTATTTATAAAATGTTAAAAGCATGGTTGATTTTGAAAAGTTACTGTTCAGTCCCTTTAGCTTGTATGTCCTACTATCTTATTTTGAAACTTTGCACTGTTCTTAATGGGAATATTTTGTCTTGAACTGACATTTCTAAAAGTAATGTTCAATAATAATGTGAACAGCCATGCTACTTCTGTTAATCAAAAGGGTTTTTTGTTGTTGTTGTTTTTAAAGGGGCAGAACGTGTTATTACATTGAAAATGGAAATTCCTGGATCAATGCCTCCTCTTATTCAGGAAATGTTGGAGAACTCTGAGGGACATGAACCACTGACACCAAGCTCAAGTGGAAATACTGCAGAACACAGTCCTAGCATCTCACCCAGCTCAGTGGATAATAGCAGTGTCAGTCAATCTCCACTGGTGCAATAAGACATTTTACATAGACATTCCTAATACTTTATGTAGAGGGATGAAAAAAATTAAGAAAAACATTTTTACTGCTGCTTAGTTTCTGGACTTAATATATATTATATTAAAACTCAACAAGGACCAAGAAGTTTTCATATGTATCAGTATATTACTCCTTGCTGTTCTTAAAACTAGAAAATGCAAATGTTTGAAACTCTAGATCAACCATTTCAAGAAACTAGCAATCAGCAACAAGGAACTAGTTGAGCTTCTGAACCACCAAGGCTGTATGGTGACAAGACCAATCTCAAACTTTAAATTCTAGTTACATTTCTGATGACTTTGTACATACAAATGTATGGTTCTACTTTCTATACTGGATGTTGGGTGCTTTTTTTTTGTCTTGCATACCTAAAATGATCAGGACATCAAGTTTATACAAAATGAATTGCTTGTACATGTCCAGATATGAACATTTCAAAAGACATTCTGATTGAGTTTAGTATGAAAACATGTCATTGCTCTTTTTGATGCCCTCAACTTGCATCTCTTATTCCATCTCCTTCCCCATAAAAGTATTCAAAAAATCTGCACTAGAAGGGATTTCTATATCAGTGTAACTACCAGATTAGTTGTTCAGATGTCATTTGTTCCACTGTTAATGTCACTTTAAAATTTAAAAAGTGGTTTATTACCTGGCTGATGACATATCTATACCTTTTTAAAAAAAGTTAATTCTTTTTCAGTAATGATAGCCTCCAAGGCAGAAACACTTTTCAGTGTTACTATGTTTTTGTTTACTCGTTCACAAGCCATTAGGGAAACTTCATGGGATAACCAACAGGCTTATTCACTACTCTTGAACAGTGAATCTAGTTCAGTTTCTTAAGAAACTGGGGCCAGGTGTTGGGCTTTCCCAACAAGCCTGATGCCAAGAGGCTACCACTAGGACTTCCAAAATACATGGGGCAGAGAATCTGGCTTCTTGACCTTGTTAAATCACTATGAATCAGAATGAAAACCGTGGTAGAATGGTTAACTCATTTTAAAAAGTGTCAGTTTCTTAGGTTTCATTTAAAAGCACTAGTGGATTTTTTTATATATATATATATTCTAGCAAGTCTGTGATGTACTTTCACTGGCTCTGTTTGTACATTGAGATTGTTAAACAATGCTTTCTATGTTCATATACTGTTTACCTTTTTCCATGGAGTCTCCTGGCAAAGAATAAAATATATTTATTTTAAATCTGTGTAGAAGCAGTTTGTGTAGTCCACATCTTCACACAAGACTTGACAGTTTTCCATTTTTAATGTTTAAACTTCATTTCAAAAAGCAGGTCTGCAGTTTGCAACCATGACAATTAAAATGTGTGCTTTAGCACAGCTGCCTAAAACATTTCTACGAGCCAGTCAGACAAATACATGACATTTCAATGAGTAAAAAAGATCATAAAACTGTAGGTGTAAGAACAAAATGTTAAAATGCCTACACACAATAAAAACCATCAATTACATCAATCATCACATAAAATAAGTCAAATGTACAAAAGTTTGCGACAGAAGGGACAAAAGGACAACACAAAATATTTGTTGGAAAATGTTTTTGTGCTCTTTGGGCACTTAATTAAACATAGCAAAATCATCATCTTCATCAGACTCGGCAAAATATTTCACTTCTTTTCTAGCCCGACCCATCCGTGGCTTAGATGCTGGTTCAGAAGCAAAGTCTGACTGAAAGATGTCTACATCAGAATCCTGGTCAAAGGAGGCTTTCTTGGATTTCTTTAAAAAAAAAAAAAAAGAGAGAAAATGTATGATGCCATAAAAATACAGAATTCTGACACTTATTGGAAACAACCATTTCTATAACATCTAGACTTTTGACCCACCTAAAATCCCAGTTGTAAATCATATTTAGAAACAACTAGCAGGCACCTTAGAGAGAGACAAAAAATATATATAGTCTCAGGAGCTTTCATGGGGAAAACCCACTTCCTCAGATGAACTGGAAGCTCATCATACGTGGATATTTCAAAATATTGTAAAAATGTTTCATGTGATATAGAAAATAATACACAAATATCAAGAAGCCAAACCCTGTCTTTTTCATGCTCACAGACAGCCTTTAAACTGACCTTGCTCGGGGCTGACTTGGGTGTTTTCCTCCCAGGGTTGTATTCACCTTCATTTTCAGATCCAGATGCTTTCCTTTTCTTTGAACCCCTACCCTTTCCTGGTTGAAAGAGAATAAAGTATAATTTTACTGATATTTATAAAAGTGACATTTCTTTCTGTTCTGACTGCTAGCAAATCTGTTCTTAAACAGTTTCATTTCACACAAAGGATAAAACTTAATCTACAGTTACATTTTGCATCGATTGAAGCGAAAGTAAAATGCTTCCATTCTGCCATTCCAATGTGTTTCACTTTGTTTTATGCCTTTAATTCTGCTTCTTTGAAGTTTCTTCGCATAGGCTTCTCACTTGTGGCTTTTGTGCACTTAGTTCAATGCAGGTCAGTGCTCTACGAGATCTACAATTGTTGTTCTCAGAGGAGGTGGTAGTTAAATGAGATCTCTACTCACCTTACAAGCTGTGACCAACTATCATCATCATCTATTTAGAGGAATTAGCCTAATGCAGGATTGGGCAATATGAGGCCAAGGGGCCAGATCTGGCCCGCCTAAAACTTTGATGCAGACTGAATCTGGCAGCTTTCTATTTATATCCTGCTGCCCGTGCCACCGAATTTCTAGATTGTGGCTCACACAGCAGTATCCTATTTAAATGTTTCATGGCGCTATCTTGGCAGGGGCCAGCACCATGAGCTCTTTAAATAGCCGCAGCTGCCAAGCAACATGGTAACAGTGGGGCCAGGAGCTGCAAGCTCTTTCGGGCCAGAAGCTTTGCATTGGAAATACAGCAGACAACTCGGCAGGAAGGCTAGTCCCCAGCACTGCCCATTTTGCCCAGGTCCTGCCCCTTCCAGGGGTGGAGTTGACCCATTACCATGTAGTAGCCCCCCTGCAAAAATTATTTCCCACCCCTGGCCTAATGTCTCATCACTTTCCACATGACTGATCTCTGTAGCTATTCTGCTTACTCTTCTGAGTTGTATCCACTTAGGAGCTCTGAATAGTGATGGAGTAAATCAACCATAAAATTCTACTGTAGAATAAGGAATTGGTTTCCCACTGAACCAATTCAAAGGACCAAAATCTACACAAGGAGAGGTTTGCTTTGTCTTTTACTAGAACATGAGACCCAAGAGTGAAAATGGTATCTGAAGAATAAAGGTTCCTATAAAAAAATCAGCAATAAAGAAGAAATAGAGGTTTTGTGCTATTCAATGAATTCCCATAAAGTACAATTCTGTTTGCACAGTTTTACAACACTGGGTCTACTGTGGGAGGTTCTGAGTCAATGTGTAATGTTATACCATTGACAAACATCTTATGGATGACTAGCGCAAATGAGAGAATGAACCTAGGTTTTCAGTACACTGAGCTCTAGTTTTAGGAACAGCGTTGTTTTTTCATTCACAAAACTCAACTTGACCCTGTGTTATGCAGAGAAGCTGAAAGTCACTTATTCACGTACTACAACATGCTTGGAAGCATGAGCTTTAGTGGTGATGGAATAACATTATTAAGATATAATGTCGTAAAATTCAACATATATGTATCTATACTGTACTAACCCTAACAATGCAGTGCACCAAATTCCTTACCTTTCGGTGGTGCGATCTTCTTTGGAATGCCAAATTCTGAATCTGAATCAGAGTTTATAATTTCCATCTTCTTCCGCTTGGGAGATCTTTTAGGTTTTGGTGTTATATCTGAAGCTGGTTTTGCTGTTCACAAAATCAGAGATAAAAGATGCTAAATTCGCATATTAGGTTAATAAATCTTATAATTAAATAAAAGTATGTGATGGTTTCACCCCTCTCCCATGCTTTATGAAATTGCCTTATGGACACAAATATGCATAACTCGAAGATGCTTAGGATAAAATACCTCATGTAACTTATCAATTTTAATGTCTCAATATGCTGGATCTGTATATCTTATTTTGGTGTAAGTATCACTCTTGTATGTAAAGTTAGCGATATGGAGCACATGAGATGGTTTATTATTTTAAATGTGCAAATGAAAGCCATCAAGGGTATTTCCCTTAATGTCTGGGCGATCATTTGAAAACAGCCTATTTTGTCCTTTAAGTCTTAGCATTGGTTGGTCTTAGGAAGTTGTGAGCTCCCTAACTGGTAGGAGCTGACCAGGTAATTTTCCATGGAAGGGGAGAATGTAAAACAGAGAATTCCTGCCTGAAAGAGAGACTATTTAAGATGCAAAAGTTTTTCAGTCTTTTCTTTGGTTGGCATGTCACCCACAAGAGAATGAACCAAGGACTCCACGGAGAAAGATTTTCCCTTCTTTGGAGGCTTGGCTAGAATAAGAACAGTATTACGGTAAGTTTGTAATACAGGCAGTCCCCGGGTTACATGGATCCGACTTACATCGGATCCCTACTTACAAATGGGGTGAGGCAACCCCGCACTAGCTGCTTCCCCCCAGCAGACCAGGGAGACGCAAAGCTAGCGCCCCCACCTCAGCAGACCAGGGAGACGCAAGAGCGGCTTTTCTCAGCAGACACCTCAGCTTGAGAATAAAGGACTGAGAGAAGTGAGGTGTGGGAGAATAAAACTGAGCTCTGGAGAAATGTTTGGCTAGAGTTTCCCCTACAATATGTACCAGTTCTGACTTGCATACAAATTCAGCTTAAGAACAAACCTACAGTCCCTATCTTGTACGTAACCCGGGGACTGCCTTTATATGAACAAACTTTCTCTGTTACTCCCAAAACATAAGGTGAGTGACCTATTAGCTAAAATGAAAGAAAAAAGTATTGACTTTAATGTGGGGGATTGGGTTTTTTGGAGGGAGAAGTAAGAGGTGGATCTTTTGAGGCACAGTTCTTGCCTATATTATTTTATTTTCAGTTCTTTGAGTTAAGGTGCCCAAAGGTCTTTTTAGCATGTGCCTAATACTATTATTAATTTTGCAAAGGACTTTTGAAAGTTGCAAAGTATTAATCAACACTTGGACACTTTTTTTTTTAGCTAAAAAATCCAGACCAAACTAATTTTCTTAGCTGTGTTACTGACAACATCTTAAATTGCTTAAAATCAAAAGAATTTTCAAAATTTTATTTACTTTTCACTATTCTCATTGTTTCGCTGTGGAGCATTCATCATCTTCTGACCATTTTCAATTTCTAGTTCTCATGAACTAGTTCAATGCAACAATGTTAGTATGTAAACACTGCAGACTCAAATGCACAGCAACTATTTCATGGATTATTTTTAAATATCCCTGAAAATATTTTTATTAGGCCTGATTCAATTCTTTTAAAATTATCTAACTTCGCATTTTAAAAATGATGACATTTCATGAACTATTGTCACAATTTTTTTTGAACCAGGTTAATTTGATTCCAGGGTTTGTGAAACATTTTCTTATATAAAACCTACTGTTGGGGACTAACCTTAGGGTCAAAGGTCCCTTTTCAAAAATTCCCTTTGAACTCTAAAATATGCTGGAGCTACGTATTTTGGAAAGAGGTCCTTCTGGTGAAATGTAAGTTGATAACGTAGAGTTCATTTTCTTTGGTCAGGCTTTCAAATATTTTGCATGTGCAATTTATTGGGTAGTTACCACAGCTGTGTGTGTGGAAACAGGATACAGAATTGTGCAAATGGCTGGTTCTGCAGTACTGGCAACCACAAGTATTAAAAATCATGGCATATTTCTTTTAAGCTGGATTTTTTTTAGAAAAAATAATAGGTGTAATGTCTTTTATCCTTGCCTTTGGACTTTTAGACTTTTATGCGATCTTTTCACCTAGTCAGCTAGGTTTTAAATGCAACCTTGAAAACTAAAAATGTATGGAGTTACATGATCCCAAGACCTGGGGCCGAAGGTAAAACTGAATATAAAAGACCTTACAGTAACATTGTAAGAGTTAGCAGCACTGGTTTTGGTTATCTGCGTGTGCAACAATCTCAATTGCAGTTGCTTTCATGGTGATGGGGTATATGTTCCTTAGGAGTGTTGTTGAGAGATTGGCCTCTTGGCACACCTGGCCATGTTAAAGTGTATGATGTCCTCTATACATTGTTACATTCCTTTTGCATCAACTCAAATGCAAAACAATGAAACGGCAACATATAGGGTGTGTTTAGATTATACCTCTGTGTCGACAGAGAGATGAAGATTAGGCACGTCAAAATTGCTAATGAAGCCTGGATTTAAAGTGGCCCACCTTGATTTTCATGCCCTCCTGCTCCTGGGTGGCCAGGCTGGCAGCTCTCCTGCCCTAGCCGGCCACGTTCCTGTGCCTAGTGCAGAGATCGTGGACGAGGTCCACGATGTCCGCACTAGCCCAGGCGGGTGCCCGCCTCTTGCGGTCCCGGGCA